CCTGAAATCAGATTAATTTTTTAATTGTCTGACATTAACTAAATTGGAACTGTGGACCCACAATAAATAAAACCAGACTCAACAAAAAGCAGTAGGACTTTTTGAACTTTTGTTTTAGGACTGTAATTTCCCAGGAAGCTGTTGAAAAATCTCCATAACTTCCTTTGGGTTTATGGGCATTAGAATAATGGTTTGAAAGCTAACTAGAATGAAATACCAGACTCTGATGGAAATAAGTATTGTTGATATCATATTGGTGAGCAAGGAAAGACCCCATGAAAGAGGCTCTGACCAAGCACAAATCCTAGCACCAACAGGTATACTTGTCTGTGCCTCTGTGTTATGGCTGGCTTGCAGGCAAACCATATCTGTAATGGCAAAACCTGATATAAAATTTAGATGAAAAGATAAAGGTACTCAATGATCTATAGTACTCACCAAGTGATGCAAACAAACACAGAAGAGGCAGCATGATGACCAAGTCCCTCTTATCCCAGATAACATATGCCCTCCAGAACACCACACAATCATTTATAATCATCTAGATAGTCCCAAAAATCAAAATTATTTCTCTAAAATAGCTATAAGCATTTACATTTAAAAGCCAAAGCCCTTCCATTGGTCCAGCTAGCGGATTTAGAAGATGAATTTTTGTATATTGTAGTTTCTCTTCTAGTGGAACCCCTGGATTGTCAACAAGTATGCCTTTCACTCTCTGGACAGCATACACAAAGTTCAGAACCCATAATATTGTACTGGTGGCAAACATAAAACACGTAACAGCCACCATAAGTTTACGATGCCTGGACTTGAACCCTGGTGAGAAGCTCACAGTAGAGAATAGATTTTAGACAAGCTAGCAAAGATAAACAGGACAAAGTTTGAGTCTGGCTTACCACTGTAGGTAAATAGCATAAGAAAAAAGTAGGGCATAAAAGCCTGAAATAAAAACTGCAATTATTACATACAAACTACAAAAGAAATGAATCTGAACTCACCCCATGCTATAGATTCCACAACAGTTCCTTCAATTTGGTTATGGATACTTTGCCCAACGATACGTAAGATCTCTTGGTCACTCTGAAGAGGTTGCGACATGGCAGCTGGGTTTGAGTGGGCAACAATGGGATAGCGTTTCAGAAGAGGCTCTGGACTTATATAAACGTTCTGAACTTAGACAAGTATCCGGTCTATTTAGATAAGTGCAATATACTTTCTAGATAGATTAGCTCAAGTGACTGTACCCTATACATTAAAACAAAACATCATATCACAAGGCCAGTGCCTGCTGATCTTGATGTGCGCTATTGTAGATCAGGTCGATCAGATACAATTGGACCCGGTAAATATTGGGTTGTGCTTACTCGCGTTGGTTGTGTACATATCGTTAGTCTGGTTACACGAGAGTATTGCTCTAGATCTGATAAGGGGCCGTTGTGCCTCGGTGCCGACAGTATGATAATGGAAGTTAAAGGTTTGAGAGGAAGATGGACTCCCTGGACACACATAAAAACATCAACTTCCTCGTAATTTTTAAAACTAAGTAATAAAAGATATGGGCCATTGCCTTTGGCATGGCAAAAACGAGACCGGAATTTCATGACCAATATTGTCAAATATTGTAGCGTTAAATTTTGTTTTCGGGCCGAATAAAAAGTCTATAACCTTTAGATGAAACATCACCAAACCGGCACCTAACTGGCTGAGTCAAACAACTTTCCAAATGGGTTTGGCAGTCATTTTGACATAGCCACGATCCAGCGACCCCAGGACGAGACCTTCGGTAAACCTCCGGCCTCGTAATCCGCATGTCAACATCAAGAGTGTTCTCGGTAGCAACAAATTAGTCTGTGGAATTGGAAACTTGTGACTCTTGATCAGAAACGGTAGCTTATTTATGACTGCATACATATTTATCAATTCAGGATTTTTCGGTCATGAATCTTTCTTCAGCGAGGCAAGGCCAGAGCATACAATGCTCAGACGCAAAAAAATATAAAATTAGGTTTTAGTTCTCTTCTCATACATAAACACATATTTCAATGGTAAAACAGTTGCATTTTAGCAACCTCCCTGGCTGGGAGTCAGACCCAGCCTTTGTATGACTGAGACTTTGTGTTTGTGTGGCCTTTGGGGCTTGAAAAAAAATGGGTTTTTTATGAACTTTTCAAGTCTTCAAGGGAGCAGTCTTTCCCATTGTGAAGGGATACAAAAAAAAGGTTATGCTATCTAGCACTTGCCACTGGCAGGGATTACTGTCTTGAGTTTTGGGTGCCAAAAGCAATCATGTAAGTATGGCCAAGTTATCAAATCTGGTCATGTGATCCACCCTAAATTCTACAATATTGATACAAAAATGCTATGAGTATACATGAGGAATGTACTATGAAGGGATCCAAAGAGAAAAACTCCCATCACCTGCAGTATATATACTACATATGACAATGCAAGAAGAAAAGGACAATAGAAGTGGCAACAATGGGGAAAGGAAGCTGATGGGAGAGGACAATGTGAAGAACAATAGAAGGTTCCAGAATGATGGGAATATAGAAGACAATGGTGGTGCAATGTGGATGGAGAGAGATATGTGGATAGGGAAAAGATGGTGATGACAGCAAATGAAAGGAAAAGTATCCTACTGGAGTATTGGCAGCATCACAAAAAGTGATGATATGTTGCAGCAGTAAAATTGCTCCAGCCATGTTCCAACGGAGTTCTATTAAGTTCCAACAAAGTTCTGAGGGTTCCAATGCCAGGTCATGATCCATTGTAACCCTCATAATCTAGTTGAAAGAGATGGTGGTTTTGTGTGATGGCAATCATACTGAGTGTCCCCTGACACAAATATCAGCATGAAGGCAAGGTAAGAGTATAATGCCAGGGAAATAATATTAGCTAAGTATGAATATCCTGATACTACAGACTGATGGAAGTTGTATTTATTGCACTCAAATTCACCAATTCCAGTCCACTGTTTCACGGCCACTGATGGAATCCTATCTGCGATAGCATTATAAGATCGGTGGATATACTACTTTCCTGCCGAAACTTTCCAAGCTTCACATTTCGGAAAGTCAGACATGCAGCAATGCTGGTCATTGCACTGAAAGGTGGCCCCATTACAAAACTATACTGAGCTCTGAGGGATGGGACAATTAATATAACAACATGGATGGAGCATATTAGGAAGGTTATCCTTTGTGTACGAAAATGATTAAAAACAGTCAGTGCCGGAAGATAAAAAACATTACTTACAGGTAATAGAATTGTCCGTCTCGAAGGAGTGATTTAGAGAAGGCAGGGAGATTTTTTCCACTGAAGAAGCATTTTGCTTCATTATGAACTAGGGTTGTATCATTCCCTTCCCATCTAAACCACTGGAAAAGACGATACGAAATGGCAAAATACACCACGGTATCAAACGCCAATGCTATTAGTATTGGCACCAAACTGTAAGTGGCTCCTTGATGTCCGAAAATGCATCGCGTCGGATCCGTGGTTGAGCGCATGGCTTTAACAAAGAAATAGTCCAAAATAGATGTCCCGACTACAACTAGCCAGAAGAAAGTGAACAATTGGCGTACTTTAGAGATGTCGTGAAAAATTGCATGAACACGGATTAGAAAAAGAAAGGCGGTAGAGTTGGTGGAAATAATGTAGAATGTCACAGATGATACACATAAAGGATTACAATCGTGGATGTTGTGGGCTGTAAAACAATTCTGCGTCTGAGGTTAAGAGACATTGTGGTAGACTTACAAAGATTATAAAATGTATAACACATCGAAAAAGCCAAAGAGAAAAGGCTAGAGGCAAGTTATGGTACTTGATCAGTGCCTGAGGAGCAGCAAAATGAAAAATTTATCCCTCACCGTGAAAACAGATACATCAAGGTCGGGAGATTAAAAATGTGTCTTACAATGAGCATAAACTCATCTTCCACATTGATCAAAATATCCCAAATAATGACCTGGATATGAGCGTTTCAAAAGAACAAGGTTATTATGTTGTAGTAAGTGAAATTCCATAGTTCACGAACCGTCAGGGAAGCAACGCAGAGGCAGCGATTCAAAAGCTCTGCCTCTGCCATTTTGATGAATGTTGCATCAACAATCTGAGAGGCAGAGGTTGGCATAAAGTTCACGCAAATGACGCTTGTTTCCCCTTTGTCCTTATAAATGCCAGAGGGCGGAGCTGTCTCCATTCCGGTTGATCGTTGTCAGAAGTAAAGATTCACTAACACATCCATGGCGGCACGCTCATCTCGGCGGGGTTTTATGATATACGATTACTTGGAGCTCAACATAGCACTGGTCCGGGCAGAAACTTGACGGTGTTTCAACCAACCAATTGCTGGTGCCACTAAAATTGGAAACCAACTTGAACTAGGTATATACCAAATAGCTGGCTGCACTTCTTGTATCAGAATAAAGATTTGAACAAATAATAGGTCATCCAACCGTAAAGAATACGTGTCCTTAGATGAAGCTTGTCGCCTTAAATCCATCACTGCATGTGATACTATTTACCGGAAGCTCTTGAATTTCTCAACCCGGTGACAATTGATGGGCTCACCCTGGGCTTACCTTGATACGTTTCGCCGTCTGGCGCACATTTTTTGATCCGTGATGGTGATTAGGGCAACCCAATCAGTGGTAGGCTTTTTATAGGTCCTGAATTGTTCTACTATATCCGATACATATTACTTCAACTTGAAAAAATCAAGAGTGTTCTCTGTAGCAACAAGCTAGCCTGTAGAATTGGAAACTTGTGTCTTGATCAAACGCAAGAGCTTTTAAACGGTAGCTTATTTGGACGCTTGGAAATGACTGCACACATTTATCAATTCAGAAAATTTCGGCCACGAATCTCTTCGGCGAGGCAAGGCCAGAGCATACACAATGCTAAGACAAAAAATATGAAATTAAGTTTTAGTCTTCTTCCCACATAAACACATATTTTGATGGCAAAATAACAAAGGGGTGTTTCACCAAGACAACCTCCCTGGCTGGGAGTCGAACCCAGCTTTCGCGCGACAGCTTTCTGGATCGCAAATGAATGACAGGCGCGTGTACTAACCGATATACTACCAGGGAGTTGCTTTTCATCGCCTAGAACTGCTGTCGATTGTCATGAGCAAGCTCTGTAGCATTTATAAAGTCAACGAATGAAACAAATGACAGTGAATACTAAGGACAGGCATCTGTATATGTATATGTGGTCATGATCAGCAGAAACGTAAACAAAACTCCAAAGGGTAGATATGTACGAAAAACATCCCAACCAAAATAGATAGATAGATATCATTATCTTCATTACTAGACTTGGACCTGGCTAAACCAGCACCTCCACTTTTACACCGGCCGCTCTCAGTCTGTCCACTAGATCCTCCTCTTCCTCCTTGTCTTCATTACCACCAGCCGACGGCGATCTGGACCCGGACCCCCAACCTTCCTTCCCCTTCCTAAACCTCTCAACCTCCCCTCTCCCCAACGAAACCTTCTCCAACGGAACCCCAGCCTCGTTCCTCGCTCTCACAGCATCAAGCAACACCTCAGGCTTCATCGCAGGATCATTAGACACACTCAACGTGCGTAAATGGGGCCAGAGCTGCCTACGTATCGACGAAGCCCGACTCTTGCTCTGCTTCTTCGTAGTCGTAGTAGCCGCCGTCGTCTCCAAGAAAGAAACCGAGGAAGAAGAAGGACAAGACTCTCTCAACACCCTCGCCCAAGCTCCACTCCACACCCCATCCAACTCGAGCTCTTCCAAATATGGAAACGCCCTCCCTACTTCGTCTTCATCGACGTGTATGAGCTCTTTTATACCCACAAGCTTCAACTTTTTCAATCCATCCACCGGACCGACCATGTGCATATGCGTATGCACCTGGTTTTGACACTCTCGATCCCTATACCCAGAAGAAGCCCTCCCAAACCACAGCAAAAACCTACACCAATCCGTCGTATTCAAATCTCTCAACACCAGCGTCTCCAATCTCGGACCTAGAACAGGAAAGAGAATGGGGTGAGAGAGGTGATTGAGCAAGGGTATAGGGTTGATCGAATGCTGTGGAGTGCTGTAGAAATTGGCGAAATAGTTTCGGGTGTCGGGGATTTGACGGCCCGGGAGGTGGTGAGGCTGGACATGGACCTGGGTTTGGGCGCCTCCTGCGGTCGGAGCGGTGGCTGTATGGTGTAGGTTAGGAGTCACGATGTTGTTGCTGATAGGATGAGGTGGATGCGGATGATGGTGAGGATGATGGTGAAGGTGACCAGGTGATTGGGAACCGTTTGAGGTGCGAGAATTGTGTGAACGGTGGGGCGAGGTTGGAGAAGGTGGGGCGAGTGGATGGTAGAAAAATCGGAGATCGAGAGATTTGAGTCGGGGACAGGGAAGAGGTCGGGGTTTGGAAGTGTCAGAATTTGCAGTATGAGGAACAGATGGGTAAGAAGTGTCCGGTACGACAGTGCCCAGCGCTGACAAGTCTAAATGAAGCGCAAGGTTTTCTAGGTGTGGGAGGTAACAGAGTAGACGGCGGAGCTCGGGAAATGAGGGCATTAGGGGAAATTGTAATGTAAGAGTAGTCAAGTTTGGGTTTAGTGAATTGACTGCCGAATCGAGTGATGAAAAAGACAGCGATGATGGACTCGGAGACGGAATTGACGTCGTGGAGGACGTCGGCGTAGAAACGGGAGACAAGTCATCCTCTGACCGGGGTAGTTGAGGGAAGAAGGATATAGGGAGCATGGGAACACGACTCAGAGTAATAGACCGAAGATTGGGACACTTTGCAAAGAATGGAGGAAAGAACTCTCTGAGCCTCGTAAAGTTCTCGATTCCGGTTGCTTTTGTGCATGTTATGGAAAAGGACTCGAGTAGAGGCATCTGAGTGTCAATCTCACTGAGGGAATGTAGAAGTGGACTGAGTGATTGTAGTCCGGGGATAAGGATGTTTAGAGAGCGCCAACGACGTGCGTGAGGACCGAGTTGAGTAATAATGATCGTCCGTGGGGACATATGAGCGGTATTGACCGTTATATCCAGCGGTAGATCCCTAGATAAGCGAAGAGAAGTGTCGAGAGATGTGAGAGGTTTCGTCCAGTATGCAATAGAAGGTAGATTTGACACATCTGAACTAGATCGTGTGACCACTGGCGACGTCCAGAGCGTGCTGGTATGCAGCGCCAAGTCCCGCCAGCGGTGGCATATCTGAGTAACGGTTTGAATAAACGAAGGGTTTGTTGGAGGATAGAGAGGTTTCAGAGGATATCGTAGGTGTGTACTGGTACCAGCATGAGCGCCTTGCTCGAAGATGAGGATGAGGAGTTCGCTGGGGAGGCTGTTGATCGGGGAGTTGTCTTGGACTGGTATTGGAACTGAAACAAAGTCGCATTCGCTGGAAGAAGTCATCGAGGCTCTACGAGAAAGTGAACCAACTGGACCTTCGCTTGCTGGCTCTGTCATGCTTCGCACGTAGACCGGTACCTCGGTGTTTTTAAGGTCCCTCGTGCCCTGTACTCTTTTCAAAGAGCTGTATTTTTTGTTAGAACAGGAAAATGAACAGCACTAAAGACATACTGGCTATCGTGCATGGTCGTGAAGATCAAGGTTTCGTGACTGGTCACAGGTCACATTTAGACGCGCATACCACCACCATCAGGTCTAGACCGTTCAGACGCGTTGGCGACGCGTCAATTCCATGATTCCTCACACGAAATGACGCAGGAACATACGAAAGGCGTTCACCCCGCGGATTTGCATAACGCGCTCCGTGAATACTAACTCGGGACAAAAGCTGTCAATTCATTGCAGTGAACCACGTGTATTCCCGCTCTCCCATCTTGCCTGTCATCATGCCCAGTCTAATCCAACACCTATCCTTGTACGAGTCTGTTTATCCCAAGATATATCTTTCTAACTTTCGAGTCTTGAGCACAATAGCACTGCCTCCACGATTTCTCGCAGCCTTCGAAACGGTCTCGTATGGATGTTATAGTCAGCTCCGTGTAGGTTTTGATAGCACTTCTCGAAACCTACTTCCTCCACAGCATCTACCCGAATGCCTCCCCTCTCGGCGGGCGGCCCAGCCTCCTCTTTCACCAACGTCGATCTACACCACCGTCGATCGCAAAAGCTGGAGTCGAAGGAGCCGCCGCATCTACACCCGCCGCAACCTTTATCACTGCCCAAAATACAAATATTCCTCGTACCGTTAGTACCAACACCAACTGTCTTAATCAGAACATAAACCAAAACAATCTCCAAACTCTACAGATGTTCGATCATTCCTCCAATAACAACCTCGAACGAATAATGGGTACAGATGTGACTCGCAATCCACGGGCTTCAATAGACAATTCAGAAGAATTCTTGGCGGGAGTGATTCTCGGATTCCAATATAATCTTGTATTGGTAAGTTTTTAGTCTTTTTCCCTCTCTTCAGAAGAAAGTATACTGATTGGACATGTGTCATCAATAAATAAATGAACATATTGTTCGTTGTCGCCAGTTGTACTGGCACCTATCAATTTATTCCCGCTACCTTTTAAGGTAGTGGGTCTTAGTGGTTCTTTCAATGACATTTTGGCTGGTGCCTGAGGAAACCGTCACTTTTCGTCAGCAGTATTAGTCAAACGCATCATAACCGTAGTGCCGCACCTTACAACCACAACGCCCGTGTCCACATTCGAGGCCGGCTCATACAGTCGTACTATGTGGACGAGCAATGCATATCTTCCACCGTCAGTCTGGCATTCCTGGATAGAAATGGTCTTACACATTATCTTGATGTTCATCACTGTTTCAGGATGTGGATTTTGGTTACTCGAGCTCCTGAAACCGCGCTGTTTACTTTCATATCGAGTGCAGGGCTCGTATCAGGTTTTCCTTTGCTGACTTTACGAAAAACAATCATGGAATGTTAGGTTAGACCTTCTTTGACGGGTTACAAAGTCGGGTGGGAATGTTTACTTTTGACGTTCACACCAGCTGAAACGCTGCGAAGTAACGACGTTAATTATCTCTCTACCCAAACGTTGGTTGGGATGGTACGACCCTGAAAGCCAGCTGGGATGATACCGTTTATCTTGAGGCTTTCCAGGGAAATGGTCAGTGGAGACTACCTGTCCGTTGTGTTCCTTCTTGATTACATGAATACATCTGAGATGAGTATTTCTTTGTAAAATGTAAGGTAGCGGGCGCTGCCGCGGAAGTCGGCCCTATCTTGGTTATTTTTTTAGGACTTGACACCTAAAACGTGTTGTCAGTCTGCCGCGATACCTCTGATAACTTGTGGCCGAGGTTCCGAATTCGAAAGCCTCACTTTGAGTCGAACCGAGCCGCGTCCGACCCAAAGCTTCCTTTGATTTCCTTTCATTGTCATTCTTCCCTTCTTTACTGTACAGCACCATACAGCACCATGAACGCTCCTATCTTAACTAAGCTGGAGGTTCCACTGGTAAAGTGAAGGGCATGTAGGAAGAAACTTTTCACGAATTTTTCATGGCTAAACTAGACTATGGATATTGTTACGGATCCGAACCACGTTACGAACGTTTTCCCCAAGATTTTCGTTATTCCACAAGTCCTCAAGGAATTTACGAGCCTTGAACACAAACCCTCTCGGAGCCGGACGATAATTCCTCAAATCATTCTGCGGCCTCCTCTGCCTCCAGAACCACACACAAATAGCACACACTACCATCAGCAACAAAAGAATCCATGCTAATCCAGATCTCCCGCTGACTTGGACAGCACTGGGAAGGCCAAGTCTGCTTCCACCGCCTATGGGCGTTGATGGTTGATTTGAATCAGGACTCTCTGATGGTGATAGTGGTGATGGGATATACTCGAAATAATCCAACCAAATACTGGTGTTGCTGTCAACTAAGGACGTTATGGAGAGGATGTGTTTCCCGTCTAGAAGTACTCCAGAGTCGAATATCTTTTGGCGGAATTGTATCTCTGAATCTAGCAAAACAGGCTTGTATGTTGACATCACATTCCCGTCGATCTGAATCTCCGATACAGGGTCTGGGTTGATAGGATCTTTTGCATCGAGTGTGGCATATATGGCAATTTGGGTTCCTAGCAA